GCGTGTGTGCGTGTGTTCACTGTGTGGGTGTGTGGGCGTGTGTTCCTTGTGTGAGCGTGTGAGCTGGTGTGTGGGCACGTGTGTGCATGTGTTTGCTGTGTGGGTGTGAGGGCGCACGTGGGCACATGTTTGCTGTGTGGGCGTGTGTGTGTGTGTTCGCTGTGGGTGTGTGGGCGCGTGTTCGCTTTGTGTGTGGTTGGGTGTGTGGGCGCGTGTGTGCTCGTGTTCGCTGTGTGGATATGTGGGCGGGTGTGTGGGCGCGTATGTGTGTGTGTTCGCTGTGTGGGTGTGTGGGTGCGTGTGGGCGTGTGTGTGTGCATGTTCGCTGTGTGGGTGAGTGGGCGCCTGTGGGCGCGTGTTTGCTGTGTGGGTGCGTGTGTGTGCGTGTTCACTGTGGGTGTGTGGGCGGGTGTGTGGCGTGTGCTCGCTGTGTGGGTGCCTGCATGTTCACTGTGTGGGTGAGTGGGCACGTGTTCGCTGTGTGGATGTGTGGGCGCGTGTGTGGGTGTGTGTGTGTGTGTTCACTGTGTGGGTGTGTGGGCGCGTGTTCACTGTGTGAGTGTGTGGGCACGTGTGGGCGTATGTGTGTGCGTGTTCGCTGTGTGGGTGATTGGGCGTGTGTGGGCGCGTGTTCGCTGTGTGGGCGCGTGTGTGTGCATGTTCGCTGCAGGTGTGTGGGTGCGTGTGGGCGCTTGTTCACTGTGTGGGCGCGTGTGTGGGCATGTTCACTGTGTGGGTGAGTGGGCACGTGTTCGCTGTGTGGATGTGTGGGCAGGTGTGTGGGTGCGTGTGTATGCGTGTTCGCTGTGTGGTTGTGTGGGCGCGTGTGTGTGACGCCTCATCTGTGAGGGAACGGTGGGGGTAGCAGTTTCTGACTTCACTTCTCCCTCTTGGACCCTTCAGGTGCCACTCCCGGGAGAGCCAGATAGCCATGGTGTGTCAGGAGGAGGTCTCTCAGGCCGAGCCCTATGACGTGCGGATGAGCGAAGACACCGAGTACTGCAGCGAGCCCAGCCTGATCTCCACAGAGATGTGAGTGCTGCTGCCTCGGCCCGGGCCAGCCCATATGTAGGACAGGGTCTGGGGGTGAAGGGCAGCTCCCTGGAATCCCTCCTCTGGGTAGGACTTGGGGAAGGGGGGTCCCATGTCAGAAGAACACCTGCAAAGCATCTGTCACCTCATGCGGGAGATGGATGTATGCCCCCGCCCACACCCACACACACATACGCACACGTACACACATACACATCACTGTCCCTGGTTAACTTGGCCTTTCCTCGTGATACGGTGCTTTCAGGAAGACTTCAAAACATTGTCTCATAAACTTTTTTTTACTGAAACCAACTGTCATAAATATATTTTATAGTGAGACTCAGTACACACACACACACACGCACACACACTGGCAAATAAATGTTCATGAAACTACTTATAATAAAGCCACCCAGCAGAGGGCACTGTTGGCAAACAGTGGCTGAGGTTTTTGTCAGTGCTGGAATTTTTTAAGAGGTTTTTTAAAATAACTACAAGTCTAGACCCATTAGAAGGTTGTGACATTTACTTAATTATGATCATCACTTTCTTTTATATTAATGTTTTATTGAAAAAGGTACATGAAAACCACCTATGTACACAGCCCCAGATGAACATAACAAACAAGTCTCCTCACACCTTCTTTCGTCTTACAAAAGCTTGACTTCTCTGGAGTCTTGTCTTGCCCATTCCAGCCACAGTGTCCCAGTTAACTTGGTTCCTTTTCCTGCAGCCTCAAAATAAAATCAAACTCCTCTTGGGTCAGGGGCTGAATGGAGAGTATCTGGCAAGTGGAGAGAGCCCTATTTTTTAAGGGGCCTCCAGTGGCTTTGTGAGCTTGGAGATGGGTTTTGAGCTCAGGCACCAGGGTCATGAAACACTTCATCTGAACAAACTGTACATCGACCTTGGACCATTTGGGGTTGTCTTCTTTGCTGGATGGGTCATAATGGGGATTATTTTTCTCAAACGGTGTGTGGTCTGGGGACGCCTACCTCACAAGCTTCACAGATCCTGCGATGCCTGGTTCTTCACAGTTGCTCTGGTAGAAGGCTTCTTTCTCCCGCTTCAGGGCCCCAGGGAAGTTCTGGGGCTGGGAGTTGTGAAGGCCATCCCAGCATGCTGTCTGCTTGGGCTGTGCTTTACGATCCCCAGGGCTGAACTTCACCTCTACACCTTTGTCTAGTTGGCTTTCTGGCTCTGACATCATCAGCCAGTAACTGCTTAGATTCTTCCCACCATTTTTAGAGGCTGAAACTTTTTGAGGGCTGGAGTTATCCCCTTGAGCTGATGCCCCCGCTGGTTTCTTAGTCTTGGTACATCTTCTTACGAGGTCCTTACTGTCCGGCCCAGCAGGCTCAGCAGCCCCAGCCAGCTCCTTCCGCCGGCTAAGCATGGTTTCCCTCCAGGGGCTGAAGAGCAGAGGATTCTGAAATCAACCGAGACATATGAGAGGCAATTCTGTATCTGCCCCCAGAAAACACCCCCCAGGTGCCAGAAGGCCAGGCCATGATCAGCACTTTAAAAGAAAGAACAGCATAATACAGAATAGCATAGGTTAGAATAAGACAATAGATAATAGTGTATCCAATGTCACAGAGGTATTATTTAGTGAAATATTTGTTTAATTGCCAATACATATATCCGTGTACTGAATCTCATAAAATGTATTTATGACTGTGGGTTGCATTCAAAAAGTTTAAGGTGCATTGTTTTAGAAGCTTTGCTAAAAGCACTTTATAATAAGGAAGAACCAGCTCCTCATCCTTTTGATTTTTAGAGACTGCAAATTTTTACATGGCCACATACCCTAGAAATCAGGAAAAGCATATGCTTCAATCCATTTTGGCTCTGGTGCTTGGTGCATCCAGGCACTCTGCTAGATCATGAATAAACTGGCCTCGGCACTCAAGGATATTTTTCAAACCAGTTAAGATCTCAGAAGAGGGAGATAACATGGAGATTTTCACTCACAGAGTAGTACAAGCAATGAAGGGGACAGACATTCAGAGGAGGTTGAGGTCAAGGTGACCATAACAGGCTCCTGGCACAAGATCAAATAGAAGCTGGGTCTTCAAGAGTGGGTACAATTTGGATAAGAAGAAAATACAATAGGGAAAGCTTACCACGTTGAAAATGAGAAGAAAGGTTTGGAGGTTTTTTGGTCAGAAATTTTCCTGCACATGTACCAAGGATCAAAGCCAGTATGCTAGGAGCAGGGACGGCCACACATTCTCTGCCCTCAAAGCATGTGGAGTTACACCAGGGACAGAGTCAGTGGTCTCATCTGTAAAGTGAAGGGGTTAGAAAGCACCTGTCTTCTTGGCCGGCAGGCTACTCCCCCTGGGGACTGTGAAATCAATTTAGTGGATTGCAACTGACATTGTTTAGTGACATAGAAAAGACTGAAGTAGAATAGAAACCACCAGAGGGCAATGCATGCAAAAAAGGTAAATATGGTTCAAGAAGTTGAGTTCGATTAGGTGTGTATATAAATGGGACAATGTACAGTCTATTTCTCATTGTGAGTCCCCATCCAAAAGGCCTAGCAGCCAGGCCCCTTACAGCTATTCACTGACTGGCTGACTGGAGATTTGTCCGTAGGCAGCTGCTTATGTGGCTTGATGATGAAGGGTGGGCAGGCCAGGGAGAAATTAGGGAGAGGGGGAGAAGTTTGGGCTGAAGTCGGGAGTGGTCAGGGTAACTAGCATCCACATATGTAAACAGAGGAGCCTAGGCTGTTCCTGGAAAGAACCTTGTGGGCCTAACATTTTTTGCCAACTTTCTCACCAACTTTGACTCAAGAGTGCTTCTACTGCCGAAAATCAGAAATGCGAGGCTTCTGAGCAGACAGGCTGTGGGTGAGGAGCCGGGAACATCCGTGATGTGGGAGAGCCAGGCCGAGCCTGGCTGGGGGGGGGGAGCGAGCTCCTGTCGCCCGTTCCCCGAACCTTTACCAAAGCACAAAGCAGGGGTTCCCTTTACTAAGGAAAAAAGCAAACTGCCTTCAGGGGGTGGCAGCTCTCCGTATGGGGTGGCGCTTCCCGGCTCGCAGAATAAGCACTAGGAGTTCTCTGTTCCAGGTTCTCCTATCAGGACGATGAAAATCGGCAATTAACACCACCTGAGGAGGACAAGAGAGGCGTCCAGCAATCTCCAAAGAGGGGTTTCCTCCGCTCTGCCTCACTAGGTAAATACTCACCTCTCTCTCTCTTCAGATGTGGCGGGTCAGGCACTCGAGTGACTGGCTCAGACAGCCCCACGCAGGGGCTGGGCAGATTTCCAGAGCAATGAGACGGGATTCCAAGGCCAGGGCTTGCGGGGCTGGGATTTGGCCGTATGCTACGTGTTATGAGAGGCGAACGGTAGGGAGGTGTTGACTCCGGGGCCACTCACACGGCTCCTTGCACCCCCCATGGTCTGAGGCTCACAGACCTGGGTCCCTTTTCCCTGTGCTGATCACAGTTCTTTGGCTGGCTTTGCAGGTCGAAGGGCCTCCTTCCACCTGGAATGTCTGAAACGACAGAAGAATCAAGGGGGAGACGTCTCTCAGAAGACAGTTCTGCCCTTGCATCTGGTTCATCATCAGGTAGCCCAGACTTTAGGAGGCATCACTGGCCAGCACCCCGCAGGCTACACAACCCCCGTGCTTATGGCAAATCCCAAGACCCCACTCAGTCCTCCTGTCTTGGACCACTGATAGCTCTAGCCCCTGGCCCTAACAGCCCCACATGAGGGGGCTCGTCCATGCAAGTGAGAACCTTAACAAGGTCTGTCGTTTCCCCGGGGGGGTGGAGGGACATCTAGGAAATACTGGCGAACAGGAGCTCCTCACACGGTTCAGAAGGATCGGCAGCTCCAGTATTCTGCCTGACCTTCTTCCTACAATGGCACAGATGTTCCCTCCACAGACATCGGCTTACACCACAGAGCACTCGGGCAGGCGTAATCATACCTAGAGTTGCAAGATACCTGGAGATCTAGCTGCACACAGACCCATCCCCCGAAATATAGAAATGATTAAAGAATCGGCCAGCAACATGATCAGGAGTAGAGACTGATGTCCAAGGAGAACAGGTTCAGAAGATTCGATAATTGAAATATCTCTTGGCATGGCTGACTCCAGCTGAGCCAGTGAAATCCAAGACACAGTATCCCACATGTTCTCAGTATCTTAGAACTAATGGAAGCCTCAAAGAATCAAAGACCAGTCCCTTACCTCTAGGCAAATTAGAGCCCAAATTTCCCAAACTTTTTTCCTCTCTAAGTATATACTCCCTCACCACAAGCCTATGCATTAAATGGGGTTTTTTTTAATACCCAAGGGCACTCGTCTGCCAATCAAAGCTTATAATGTGCTTAAGATGGCCAGTGTGGCTCAGCTAAGTTGGTATTATTTCAGCTCACAGTACTCACCGTTTTGCTTAGCCTGTGTGGCTTTGCCAGCAGACAGATGATTTCCGTGGGGCCTTCTGGAGGATTGAGCATAGCCTTACACTTCCCTCAGATCTCCAGGGAACCAGCAACCCCAGGCTGGGGACTGTCCAGGGCTGTGGGCAGAAGAGACCAGCAGGTCGACTGGGGGCAAGGGGACACTGTGTGTGCTATTTTTAAAGATTTCTAGAAGTCCATTTCACCCATGTGTTCTTACCATGCTACGGGAAAGAACCTATTCTTTATTTACACTTGCCCCTCCATGCCTTCCCACTGCCCCCCCCAACCCGGCTGCAGCGTTCCCTTCCCTCTGCCTCTCAGCTGGACTCTCCCACTGCACAGTGCCACTCTCCGTGGACACCAGCTCAGAGCGGGTCCTTGTGGTACTGACACGAGTGCCAGGCCCCAGCCTCAGGATTCTCAAGCATAATGGGGGCCAGAAGACACAACATGTAAACAGTTTAATCACAATACAGTGTAAGATTTGAACAACAGTAAAAAAAAAAATTTAAATTAAAAAAACAAAAAACAGAAGATTTGAACAACAGTTCGGAGAAGACCTGAGCTAAGCATCAGTAGGACATGATTCATGGCCTGATTAACTGTAAAAATTAAAACCAAGTACTGGTTCTGTCTAGATCTTTGTGGTGCACAGTATACTTCTTCACAGGCTTTATTTCACTTGGACCTCATGTCAATCCCACAAGATAGGGAGATAGAGGGCATTAGTGTCCTGGTTTTACAGATGATGAGGGCAGCATTCTTTCTAGACTACTGATGAGAAAACCAAAAGCCAGAGGATTCTCAGCTGCCCGGCGATAGGGCCAGTGATAAGAAGGGGATGCTCTTGATTCCACTCCGTCACAGCTTTCTGAACTTAGAGGAGAAAGCGAGCCCCTCAGACTGGCACGATCACAAAATCTATCTTAGGGTGGCAGAAGCTAACCCAGGGTCTCGATGAGGTCGGAGCCAGAGGGCTGACAGGCGTGGGCCCCGGGTGGGTGGGACTAGCTGGGAGCAGGAGCTGCTGAGAAAGCAGAGGTCCGTCTCTCCCAGTAACTCGAGCTCCTTGTGTGTCCACAGGCATTGGCAGTGGCTGGCCTGAGCCCCCTCCTGCAGAGAAGCCATTCCCCCAGCACGTCCCCCAGGCCGTGCGCCACCCCCCCAGCCACACCGGGCAGCCAAGGCTGGCCCCCACAGCCGATCCCCACCCTGAGGCTGGAGGGCGCCGAGTCCAGTGAGAAACTCAACAGCAGCTTCCCGTCCATCCACTGCAGCTCCTGGTCAGGGGAGCCCACGCCCTGCGCTGGGGGCAGCAGCGCCATCCGGAGAGCCCGGCCGGTGTCCCTCACTGTGCCCAGCCAGGCTGGGGCCCGGGGCAGGCAGTTCCACGGCAGTGCCAGCAGTCTGGTGGAAGCGGTAAGTGACCCTGGGCCGCACGGCACGCGGGGGAGGGAAAGGCCGAGGGCAGCTCAGGGACTTCGCATGAGGAACTGAGACGGGAGTCCCTGGTCCTTTCCCAAGTAGAATGGATGTCAAGTCTCTTGGCCAGAAAGACCCGCACCCCCAGGGAGGAGGGCATGGTCTGCAGAGAACTGTGATCACACAAGACGCTAGAGGCTGCTTCTTGGGCAGGGCCTGCCACAGAGGGAGAAAGGACTGAGTAGCATATCCCTGCCGCAGGCCAGAGAACGTCCCCCAGGGCCCAGGGCTCACGGTACAGCCAGAGGGGAGCTCTGACTACGCCAGATGCAGGGGTGAGCCTGGGCTGTGTTTGCACACATAGAAAGTCAGGATCTGTGGAACTCGAGCCTGGGGTGCATTAGAATAACCTGGGGAGCTTTGGAAACCTAGGACACAGTAAATGGGTATTTTTTAAAGCCTTGCGATGATCCTAATGCACAGCCAGGGTTGAGAATCACTATTCTAGAACAAGAGTGCTTCCAGGTCCTCTATCCTCTGCCCTGGCCAGAGCATCTAGTGCGACCCTGGCACCACATTTTAGGGGACTTTGACAAACTGGAACAAGCCCAAAGGGACACGGCAAGGGATTGGCAAGGTCCCTAGAAGTGATCTCATATGAGCACTGGTCAAGGGAGTTAGGGAAGCAAACCAAGAAAGGGGGTGGCTTAGGAGGCCACAAGGGGCATCTCCAACTGTAAGGTCCCTCATGTCCTGGGCAGGGGGTCTCGAGTGCAGGACTGGAGCGACAGATCAAACTGACAGGCAGGCAGATTTCAGGTTACATGAGGAAGACCTTTCCAACAGAGCTTTCCCAAAATGAGGAGGGCTTTCCTATAAAGGAGTGAGCCCGCCATCGCTGGACATATGCAAGCAGAGACAACACCCATCCGGTCATCAGGCTGTCGTGCAAGAGGTGGAGAGTTAAACCAGATGACTTCTAAGGTCCCTCCTAGCTCCAAAACCCCTGTCCTTCACTTGGCCTTGGTTATCCCTCATTCAGTTGACAAATCCCAATTGAGTGCCGACCATGTGCAGGCACTGTTCTAGGTGTGGGGATACAGCCGAGAGACAGTTTCTGCTCTCAGGAGCCCATGCCGTGGTGAGGAGAGACAGATCGTAAATAAGCATGGATGTAGCATGTCCCACAGGGTGGGAGCTCTGAAGAAAACTTAAGCAGGACAGGAAATAAAGAGTGATGGGAGCAGGGCAAACGGACCTGGGAGAAAGGCATTCAGGCTTCACTATTAATCCCCTGCCCTTGGCTCAGCAGCTGGTCTCCCCGAAGCCGGTCACTAAAGCAGCCGCTAGGAAGGAGGGAGCAGCCCTAGGACCGCCTGCTGGCCCTTTGGAGCTGGGGCGGAGGCAGGTGCAAACCTGGCGTTTTGCACACATCCTACGCCAGGATCCTCACCCCCACGAAGGCAGCCAGCTGCAGTGGGGAAGGGGCACAAGTTTAACAGTTTCCCCAAAGAGAGTGAAGGTTTCTGGGCAAGAATAATAGGGGGGCATCTAGGGGTGCCAGGGAGGAGAAAAGACAGGGCAGGCTGGGTTCTGCCTGAGCCACGGTACAGCAGCACCCCGCGGCCCCTCTGCGAGCCAAGTCTTCAGGTGTTCGACAACAGTTGTTGAGTATCCTACCCAAAACAGCTCTCCTCCAGCCTACACATCCCTGACACCTTTGGGCAATGCTCCGGGTCAGCTCCTTTCCTGGGAGCACCCCTCCCACCACGCCCGCGCGCACACACACACACACACACACACTCACTTCCCGAAGTCACCAGGCCCAGGCCCCTTGCTCCAGCCCTAAAGGGAAGAGTTGACCTCCAGGAATAATGTTCCTCTTTGGTTCTTCTTCATGGCCCTCCCTCCCCACTTCAGGTCTTGATTTCAGAAGGACTGGGGCAGTTTGCTCAAGATCCCAAGTTTATCGAGGTCACAACCCAGGAGCTGGCTGATGCCTGTGACATGACCATAGAGGAGATGGAGAACGCCGCTGACAACATCCTCAGTGGGGGCACCCAGCAGAGCCCCAACGGCACCCTACTACCTTTTGTTAACTGCAGGGACCCGGGGCAGGACAGAGTGGGGGGCCAAGAGGGCGAGAGCTGCACCACGGCTCGGGCGTGTCGGAGGAGCGAGGAGGAGCGCCAGGACAGCAGAGCCCACGCCGGCAGCCTGTAGTCGCTAGGGCTGGGGAGACGCTGGGTTTTTTATTTGTTTCAATGTTCCTAATGGGTTCGTTTCAGAAGTGCCTCACTGTTCTCGTGACCTGGAGTTAACCGGAACAGCGTCTTCATTCATTTCGTTGGGACAAGACGCAGAGTTGGGTGGTGTGCAGAATCCGTTTTCCGGGGGGAAGGAAGGCAGCAACCCCAGTTTGTGTTGTGTCCACAGAGGTAGAGTGGTGAGGAGGAGTAGAAGAATCAGGGAGGGAGAGCAAGAGAAGAGATGCCTGCCCTCACCTCCGGGCATGAAAGAGAACCTCAGCTTCCTGCGGTAGCCCTCACCAAAAGGACCCTATGTCAAACGGGTGTCTTTCAACTTTGCTTGTAAAAAAAAAAAAAATCATTTTGCACATATTCTGTATGAGCCTCACTGTCTCCATAGAGCCGGGGCCCTGTGGATTTGCAGAAGGAAGCAGGGGTGTGACTGCAGCGAGGACCCAGCCCCGTCCCAGAGAGGGACGAGGTGCAGCCCGAGGCAGCAGGAGCTCGGGAGCAGAAGGGAGCGGAGGGCGAGGGCTGTGTGCGGCCCCCAAGGCCCAGGCTCCCCGCCGCGCCCCGCCCGTCTGCATCAGGACCAGCGTCCCTGCACGGGCCCACCGAGCTCCAGCCCAGCGGCTGGGCCTGCATCGGGGCGACGGGGCGCTGGCACCGCCTGCCAGGGAAGGGGCAGCCGGCCCTTGACAAGACGAGGTGGTGCTGAGCTTCTTGTTGAGCGCTCTTTTGTTTTAGGGTTTGACATTTTTCTTGATAGCATGTTGCAGTTTTCGGGGGTTTTTTTGGTTTCTGTTTTATTTTAATTTTGTTTTCCCAGGGGGAGGGGAGGAAGAAGTGTTTACAAAGCTTTGTACACCCACCTTACTGTTTTCACTTTTGCAAATGTAAATCGGGTTTGGTTTTACTGTATTATTTAAACGGTTGTGGTTTTCTTTTTCTATGGTAGGTTCAATAGAGCCGCCGTAGGCAAGTTTTACCAGCCATTGTGTATGCGCAATAATTTGTTATAATTTCCGTAGGTAGTAACAAAAATTTTTTTGGTTTGGTTTTATAATTTAAAGGTAATGCACTTGATACGGTCTTGCACATATGGGTTATTGAGTTGGGTTCTTTTTAATGCGAGGTGTATTTGTGGGTGCCAGAGAAAGGAAGATTGGATGAGCGAGTCTCTGCGAGTATGTGTGTGTTCTCTGTGTGTGTGTGTGTGTGTGTGTGTGTGTGTGTGTGTGTGGTGGGCTGTCTGGGCACCTGTCGTCCATGTGTATGTACACCCACACAGTGCGCCCGTGCGTGAATGAGTGTGTAGCTCCCCCTTTCTGGTCTAACTGTGGGGAGATCCGAATCTGGGGCCATTTGAAAGCAAAAACAAACCACTGTCTCTGCTTCTGAAATGGGAATCAGTAACTCTTTGCATTTCCTGTCCCACAAGATATGCAAAAACAATGCAATAATACTCATTTTAAAAATATAATTGTGAGTTGTGTTGGCATTAAAACTGTATTAAAAAAAAACGCAGAGAAATTTAAGGGAAAAACTCAAGAAGGCGTTTTGCTTCGATATATTCCGTGTAATGTTTTATTGCATTGATAATGTTTCTGTTGAAGAAACTGTTATACTTGAATTCAGGTCAGTTTCAGTATTTTACAAATATTTTTTTAAAACTGAATTGCAATTGTGCCAAGCGAATATAATGAATTGAATTAAGTTTGTTTTTGAATTCCCTTCTTGTATATTTTGCTGCATGTAAGTAAATCATTTTGTATTTGGAGTGTGACAAGCTTTACCCTTGAACTCTGAAGTGCTTTTCTATATGTGGTTGGGGAAAGGGAACGAATATTCTTTTAATTTGTACAATGAGCAAAGGTATCACCAGTGTAAATCATTATTCTGCGATCCACCAACAGGTTTGGACTTTACTGTTTTGCATATCTTGTGTTCGCTTCCGTTTCCCTCCATTTTTCCAAAACTATCTGATAAGTATACTTGTACTACATCTTGCTTTGAGAGACCAGGACATGTCTTAGTCCTGTCTTCACTCTACCCATTCTGCTCCAGTTCTCTGATTTGGACTTTGTCTAGGGGCAGTCCTGCACCAGAAGCATCAGCATCCCCCACGGAAGAGGTGGCTGGCTTTTCTGTTCACTTCCACAAACTTTCCTCAGTGGTCTCCTCAGGAAAGCGTACGCTGACTGAGAGGCTGGAGCTAGAGTCGGGCTGCCTGGAGGCCAGGGAATCCTCCCTCTGGCAACTGCTCTACCCAAATTCAGACAGCAGGGCCCAGAGAACAGCAACCAGGTAAAATCTTTGTCCATCCAAAAGTCAGCTCTGTCTTACTTCATCTTTTCCTCACTCGGGAGCAGGATTTCCTCCAGACCTACCCTAGTGTGTGTGGCAGCCGTGGAGGGGACCAGGACCAGGCAGGACACGTCAGGAGGTCACAGTGATAGTGGAACCGGAGACTCTGTGGGAGCATCTCTTATGCGCAGTTTCGTCTGCCTAGAGCATCATCCTATCGGTGCTGTTTCCTTCAAATAGATTTCAACAATGATGGTTGAAAAGGAGGTGATTTGGGGAAAACAGGACCCAAACATCCAGGATTTACCCAGTGAATGTCTTCCAGTCCCAGTGCGCTCTCAGCCCTTATGTGAGCAACCTAGAAATTAAAGTCGGGAAAGTCAATTCCCCAGTGAAGACGAGTCTCACTTTCAAGGACTGATCCATGAAAAAGTGGAGAAACGTGCCGGATACTCCCAGGTTAACTTACAGTCTAGAAGCAGAAGGGTTTCTTCCTGTTTCTCCAAGCCCAACCCATCCAAATTTTTTTGGCTCCTTTTCAGTGCCATGAAGCCCTTCTAGAAATTACGGTTAGGTGTCGTCCTTTGTCTGGTTTCCCAAGATAGCTACCATTGTGCTGCTAAGATACTAGTTATGGTGGAGAGGGGAGCCCTTTTGGATTGATATCTGGTTTTTGCTGTATATTTGGTCCCTGGATAGAAATTTAGAATCTTAATTGACCACACACACATACACAAACACACACTCACGCCCAACACACGCACTCAACCTTCATGCTGCTTTATTTTTTCCTTTTGGACTTGTCTTCTGCATCACCAAATCCCGTTGGCCAGTGGCATGGGCTACAGGCTGGGCTCATGCCAACTCCCCCTAGAGCCCTGCCTAAGTGTGGCCCCTGGCTCTTCACCACTCACACCTACAGGGTCCCTTCTTCTTTCTAGTCAGCTCTGTCAGAAGACCGGCTAGGCTTGCACCCTGCAAGAACAATGGCAGCAGTGACAAGAGCACCTGGTGCTGTGCTGCTGGGAAGGAAAGGAGTTTCAGATGGGAGTTCCCTGTGTAGGGCAATGGGTCTTTCTGGCCTGACCTCATGATCGACTGGTATAGGACTGACATAGGACACCTGTCATCATGCAGACTGGTAAAATGAATCATGAAATCATGAACCTCCTCCGCAGTGTATTAAGTGATGTCTACCCTCCACCTAGAGCAGAACTGTGCCCATGACCATTAAATCTTCTGAGAACCCTTGAGTGGCAGCAGAAAGCTGTCAATGGCTGAGGACCAACGGGACTTGAAGAAGTGCCGTGTAAGTTCTGGGGGTTGGTAAACGATATTTATTTGTCCTCTGAATGGCCCAGACTCTTGTATTTCCACACTTTAGCTTTTTAATAATTAGGCATGTGCATGGCTATATTAAGCAGAGAGATTTTCAGTTGTCTCCTTTCTGCCTGTTTCTAGAAGTTTCTTTTTGGTCTTGAGGCAAAAAGAGGAGAATGTTTTCCTAGATTTTGGCTTGTTCCATGAATTTTTCTCTGTTCTGCTTCAGAGGCTATTATAGTCCCCCACCCCCCACCCTCTAACTTTGACTGGGAGGTCCAAGGACAAAGGAACAAGGCTTCCTTACTCTGTCTTGATCCTGTGACCCTGCTTCCAAACCTCAGGGGCTTGTCTGGAGCGAAGCTATCAGTTTCTCACAGACATTTTCCTTCCTGATCATTCAGCTATAGATAATAAGGCAACCTCAGGAGAAGGATACCTTTCAATGCCTGAGAAATAAGAACACCCTGAAAATGAGGAGTTTGGAAGTCATCAGAAGGGTTTCATCATTCTTAAAGGTCAAGACATGTAACAAGAAGCTAGTTTAGGCATACAGAATAACCCTGGTAGTCATGTTTTTAGCCTCATCAACCATAATTATACATGTTGCTAAGGAAGATGATGGCATCTCCATCCTGAGGGACCTAGAAAAGATGAAATATCATTGTCTAAGAGTTAGAAACTGTTTAGCAAAGAGGCCAGAAAAAGGCAATCTGGTTTCAAGAGGACCCACTTAAGACCCAATTTAGTAAAACACTTGCTGGTAAGAGTGCAGGCCAGTTCCATTTTTTTAAAGACACGGCTCTGGTTGGGGGAAAGTGTTGGCACAGAGAGAACTGGAGGGAAAATGCAGGCAAAGCAAAGGGCATGTCTTGACTCTTTATGCTCTGTTCCTATTTTCTGGAAAGAAGTGTCCAGTTAATCCACGCAATGGCCAGTACAGGGGAGAGGATCATGCCTCAAGGATCAACTTTGGAAAAAGTGAAGAATAAAATTGCAATCATTGTTTTACCAGACAATTCAACCTATCTGGCTAGATGTGGGATATCTGCCATTCTGTCTTTCCTCTTTGCTGGTGTCCCTCCCCTCATACTAGCTGGCATGCCACCTAAAACTGGCTCCTGTTGGGCAGAAGGCATGAAGGGAAGCCTAATGTCACTCACAGTGAAGCTCTTAGTCACCACATCCAGATTCCCCATCAGCTCCCTCTGAGGAGACACAAGGAAAAGAGACAAGGGACTAAAGTGTCTTACAGCAGTCAGGGATGGGGTTTTTTCCCCTTCCCCAAGCCTTTCTCTCTATTCCAGCCTCCTGCCCAGCCCTCCCTTTTCCTTCCTCCCCCCCAGTCTAGTCAGAAGAACAGAGAGTTGAAAGGAATCCAATGTGCAGATTCTTAAACAGTTTCTTTGTGAAGCTAGTTCTGGTTTTAACTTTTTTTTTTACTTCAAAACAATGAAACCTTGCTTTGTGAAGCCAGATACCAATGTAACAGGCAGTTTCTGCCAGACTCCCACATGGTTGGGAGACACTTGAACACCACACATACACACTTTCATCTTCATGCACACACGCATGCACACACGGGCGTGCACACATACACACACACACAAACACACTTCCTTAAGGGACAGGGGCTGGTGCTGGGGTTGAACTCTGCACAAATGATATTGTCCTCCCAGAGGGCTGAGCACTGTATAGAGAAACATGGAGAGTGAAGCAGAGTAACTTCCTTAGTAGAAATGGTGCCATCTGACCCTATTATTACTGTGAACTAAATATTATTTATCTACATTAAGAAATACAATTACTTCTACAATCAGATTTTTCCCTCATATGATTTTCAGAGGCTTGCTCCGGAGAAGATGCAGCAGTAAAGACTCTTCAGCTCGCTGGTATACTACAAAAGCCTTTTGATCGGTCTCTGAAAGGGAAATAGAGATTTCCAGCAGGATATATTGAGCTGAGTTGAACAAATCAACTCAATACTGAAAGTAGAGTCAGAGTTGGGACTTCCACAGAAATCCCCTCAGTCTCTACTGAATTAAGGAAGACAAGACAAAACTAGATAATTAAACAAAAGCTTGAAATGTTACATCACCAGAGTCAAATATTCTCCCTTCAGATCACATGCTGGCCTCTTCACGGCTGTACTCTCTTTTGGGGGGCATCCCATGCACCCCACTTTCCAGAATCTACTCTGATTTGGTAAGATTCCTAGAAAGGGCAGCATGACATTTAATCTACCATTAATCAGTCATTTACCACAAATTTGCCATCTAAAAATCACTCATGTACTTCATACATAAGAAAATGTTTCACCTAGGTCATTATCAAAGAAGTCTCTTGGTGGAAGAGGTTGTAAGTTTTAAGGAAGGGTAATTTCTATGTGAAGAAATACAGAAATGGACAGAGTGATTCCTTTTCACAGTTTGAGCCTGGAGAACTCCTGTTCTGATGTTCATGGAGCCTTCGAGGGTACAAGCAGAGGGATGAGGAAGATGAGAGTGAGCGGGCACCAGCCTCGGCAGTGAGTCACTGCCAAAGCTTGCTGAGGGCTGCAGGTCGCAGACACTGCATGAAGTCTCTCCTGAGCCTGCAACTGGGAGGGGGATGAGAAGGCTCCCTTCTATAGAGTCACAGGAAGAACAAAAGAGGACAGGTCACAGCGTCCTGTTCCAAGTCCCCTTCCCCTAAAATTTCCCAACATGGAGAAACAACATCAAGGCTTAAAAGAAAAAAACAAGTCTTGGGAAGGAGGGTCGACAATTGTAAACAAACAACCCTGTGCAAAGAGCTCCTTCATAAGGTAACTCCAGTGACCCAAATGCTATGGGCACTTTTTCTGCTTGCACACATCACACCACCCATGCATCGAGCTCCATCCCATTCCCCCAAATTTATAATCCATCTCTTAGTTTCTCAACTAGATTAGGCACCACCCCATAGCCACTTCCTGTCCTGCCCAGAACATGTGCTGTTCTCCCAGAGCCTCGTGGGAATAGAGTCTAGGACCAAATAGGCTGTGGCTATCAAAGGCATAAACAAATCTGGACAAGTGGTGGGTTCCCAGCCTGTGACGCACTAGAATGTCTATTACTCTCATAATCTGCTTGTTTTATTTTAATACCCTAGAGCTGCCAAGCAGAACTTGGGTCCACGTCAGAGGCTCCAGAATAGCCCCTCCTCCCTCCTCTCCTCATGTCCTCCTGCTCAGGCCCATCTTCATGCCCCCAAACCAGTCTGTATCACGCTTGCTCTCAGCACAACACAGAAAGATGAACAGTCCTCCATCATCATCCCCCCACCTGTCA